CCCCCCCCCCTATGTAGGTAACTTCATTTATTTCATGTTCATGTTCTATCATTGGATGTCATTAAAATGCTCAGGATCGATCATCTAGCCAATTGAATGGCAACTTTTGACTCGATAGATTGTGCCAGCTTTAGTTGTTCAACCATATTTTAGCGGTGATACTGATAGGCAAATTTGTACTATATTTCCAGCCACATACTGAAAGGACAGTATAAGCACAGTGTTTCTTGTATATGCTAATAGAAGGCAAAGCTAGAATATTATACAAACTTAATGTATACCCTCTTGTTATATGGGCAAATAGAATAGTTAGTCAGATCATCTATATGATCTATTCACCTGAAAGTTGAGAAACTCAACTGAGATATAAACTCTCAACAAACAAAATCACATTAGTGGATTTGCTCAAAAGGCCCCCTTTCTCCTAGCACTGCAACAGTGATGTCTTTACATAACGGCAACATACAAATCAAAGTGCAAGTGTCCATCAAAAACTCTCCCATCATAGTTTACCGAGTAGCACCATTGGGTTATAAATATATAAAGATCCATGCCTCTTGAAAACATGCAGTTCTCTTGACATTCCATTTCATAGGCACCGGGAAAATGTTCAAGAAGTAGATTAATTCCTGCGCAAGCATCAGAACAGTGTCAATTTGGCATTAATCGCATTACAATAAGACGTAAATCCATGAAATGCTACTCTGCACCACATACAATCTATTCTTCAATTAATGAAATCTCTTTTCTATTTTTGAAGGGGAGCCTTGGCGTAACTGGTAAAGTTGCTGCCATGTGACCAGGAGGTCACAGGTTCGAGTCGTGGAAATAACCTATTGCAGAAATGCAAGGTAAGGCTGTGTATAATAGATTCTTGTGGTACGACCCTTCCCTCCACCCCGCGCATAGCGGGAGCTTAGTGTGTTGGGCTGCCCTTTAGTTCTTTTCCATTTTTGGAAGGGGAGCGGGATTAGGGAGGTGGGAAGATTCTTTAGCCTGTCCGTAGATTATATTTTATAACAGGACAGAAAACTTGAGAAAATTGAGAATAAATATGAAAAACAGCAATGTTTCTTAAAATTTACAAGGCACATTATCCTTCATAATACTGCTGAAATAGTTACTACTAGGCAAAGAAAATGCAGTGGTATAATCCATAAGAAAAAGAGGACAAACAAATAAATAACAACCAAAACGTAACAATCTTTTCGCATCAAGAGTTCATAGGAGCTTCTTAGAAATTTTGTATCTTATGGTCTTAGTGAAGATAGAAAATAAGCTGAACCAGTAACCAGCAAGTTGCCCATGTTCAGAGGCAGAACTACGTTGCGGGTTGAGGGGTCACGGGACCTCGTTAGCCTCGGCCAAAACCTTGTATATATATGTTATATATATTTGTACATATATATATGGAACCCTTAAATATTTTGCTTGTGCCCCCAAACACAAAAAGGCTGACAGGAGAAGTGGTTACGTTGGACGCACAAGTTCCCTTCCTTAATAGCAAATTGCTTTATTTTTTTATATTTTTTTTATAAGGTTAATAGCAAATTGCTTTATTTTTTACATTTATCTTTTTTTTTAATTCAATTATAGTTTAGTGATGGAGGAAGACAAGGAGGATCTTATGGTTTGGACAGCAAGCAATGATTTGCGATATTCTATCAAAAGCTGTTATAATCTTCTCCAGGAACAAAATGATCAATATGAATCTAATTGGCCATGGAAAATGTTATGGAGAACCAAAGCACCTATTAAAGTGGCTTGTTTTGGGTGGGTTGCTACTAGAGAAGCCAATTTAACTCAAGATAATTTACAAAAAAGGGGATTCTGCCTAAGTAACAGATGCTACTTATGTGAAGAAGGGTTGGAAACTGTTAATCATCTATTTATCCATTGTAAAATTGCTAAACAGTGCTGGGAGCTTTTTTTGAATCTGTGTGGTGTTTCGTGGACTATGCCTCCAGACATAAGATCTTTACTGGTCAGCTGGCAAGGGCAGAAGGTATCAAGGAATCAGAAGCAACTATGGTGGACCATCCCTCTATGCATTTTCTGGACCATCTGGTAAGAAAGGAACAATGTTTGCTTTGAGGACAAGAGGAATAACATTGCTAGAATAAAAAATACTTGTCTTCAAAATCTATTTTTTTGGTGTAAGAAATGTTTTGTTGAAAGTCTAGATCAATATATGGAGTTTTTGGATGTGTTAAGCAACTTGTAACTGATAGTATGTTATTATAGGTGTTGTCTGATCCTGGTGTAATCTTATGTACCATCTTGGTACTTTTATCAATAAAACCTTTACCTTATCAAAAAATATAGTTTAGTACTAACACATAATAGTCAACTTAATTAATTTTTCTTTTTCAAATCCCTCCCTTATAATTAAAACGCCCAAATTGCAGCTTATCGCTCCACAAATAGAAAAATATAAATTCTTCTGCCAGAACCTTCTTCAACAATCACTTTGACTCCGACTCGACAATGGCAACTAAGAGTTTGAGACTCTTCTTACGTTCTTTGACTATTAACATACCATTAATCTTGATTTCTTGAGTAAGTTTGAGATAATTTAAAGTTTGAATGCCCATTTGATCACTAACCCCCTTTTTTATTGATAAACTAGAAATTTTAAAGTGTGAAACATGCTTAATCAAACACCTTCCTTTCCTATAGCATCTAGTTTGAGAAGAAATCTCTCTTTCTGTTTGGTGCTTTCATTTTCTTTAGAACTTCTTTTGTTTATACTTGGATGATAAGTCATCAAAATCATTAAGTTTTCAAAGAGTTGCACGCCGAATTTTATCGCTAGTGATTAGTATATAATGGTGCCCCGCCGTGCTCATATCCTGGGTCCGCCTCAGCCCATGTTTATGGTTGCCTTCTTAAGCTATGAGTACTACCCAATATCTATCTCCAAAGTCTTTGTAGTCATAGATCTTGAATCAAAAGATAGATTGGGAGGGAATGGCCTATTAATCATGACCTTCGCTTGAACCAGTCAGGAGCTCTTCTCAACTGAGTTGTTTAGGTTCTCGAACTTCATCTCTAGTTGGGGGTGCCTAGAGGACGGGCGGGGACGCAGTAAAACGGAGACAGGGGAGAGGGTTCCCCACTGGAAGGGGGGAGGAGACGGCCATCTCAAGGTACATGACGACCTACATGTAACACCGGCAAGACTTGGAAAGGCAACACAATTGGGTGTTACTACATCCGTATGGACGAGATGCGACAAAGTGTTTAGATCATTGTGCAATGTCTTAATCAAATGCCTAGTGGCACGACGAAAGCCGGTGACTGTAAGTTATGCCCTGCATCACGACCTTGAATGATTCCTTTCATTTAGAACGGACAACGGCATTTGGACAATCTCCAAGATTGCATCAAGTGATACAATAAAGGAGGTACACAACATAATAACTGTTTTTTCTGTAGTTCAGACTTCAGAGCAGCTAGATAGCAGCCAGTTTTATCCTCGGATTGCTTAAAATTATTATGCACAGAAATGGCGGGCAATTATTTTACATGAGTTCATTTGAGATTTACTCGTGATTCGAAGAAGAGTATAAACAACTTGAATTATTCTTTTTTCCTTTAAAGCACCACCAATCTGTAATGAGCCTAGCTTTTCTTTTTCCTGTAATACAATTAATCATTATATATTTTCTTCAAGCAGGACGAATTACCACCACTAAACTCTATGAGGACCAAAGAATTACCATGTCAATACAATTCATTTTTAAGGAATCAAATATATGACCAAATTAACAGTACAAGATATAATAAAAACTGAATAAGAAATTGTGAAAAAATCATTTAATACCTGTACGCAACATCATCTCAGAATAGTGCATCAAGAAATATAGTAACTCTGAGCTCCTTAGCCAAATGTAGGCGAAGCAAGACTCTCCCTAAAGATTGCAGTTCCGGCATTCTCACACATGGTAGGAATCCCATCAACCATCATATTCCTCCACCGATCCTCTCTCATACTGTAGACAATCAACTTTCCATCCGCATCTAGTAAAACATCATCCTCACTCATGAAACACAATGGTATCAGATCAGTCACCGAATCCGGTCCTTTAACTACAAATTTGGTCCAAGACTCCTCAACCCCATAGTCTTTCATTATCCAAACATCAATTTCATCCTCATGTGTATTAGTGAACATACAAAGACACCCTCTAAGAGCCACAAGCTTATTAAACACAAAATTACCTTTATCAAGAGTAGTAGGTGCTGGCACCTCCAAGAATTTATCATCACTTAAATCAAAAGCAACAATTACTGATGAATAACCGGAAGTTTTACTACTAGCTAACCAATGCAAAGCCCCATTTACCAAAACACCAGAAGCAAGTTGAGGAACTGCATGATCATAAGGAGAACTCTCAAGTCTCCTCCAAATATCCTTTCTCACATAGTAAACATCCACAAAAGTATAATCGATATCTGGCTCATATTCATTATCCGTATCGTAATAAGAAAGAGTAACCACCTTATAATCATCACTAACAACATCATACCCTAAACCATACATGCTAAAACTACCAGGCACAGGAAGAGCCAAATTAAATTTTGGAATTTCAAAGTACTCTAAGGTTGTGGGGTTGATCAAAAATTTGATTTCCTCATCATTTACCCCCAAGACCAAGCCACTACATGAGCCAGCAACACTTACCCAGTTGTCTTCAAGTTGCTGAAAATTAAGCTTTCTTGAAATGGCATCGATTGTTCCATTTTGGGGGTCGTGGTTAAAAGTGATAGTGTGAAGAGAGTGAGAATCAGAAACAAGAATGAGGTTTTCTTCTTCTTTGTGGGAATTTATAGTGAGGTGAGCTGAGATGAATTGGGGGTCTGATAGAAGAGAGCACCACTGCTTTGATATACACCTGAATTGACCTATGGACTTTGCAGGAAGACGGGATAGTATGTCAACTATGATTTCTTGGGGTAGTTTTTCAGCTTTGCTCAGTGCCATAGTTCGATTTGGCCTAGCGCTGACTTCAAATATAGCTAAAGATTCGTGTTTGATTCTTGATTCTAATTGTAAGGAACACTTCCTTTCTAAATCGAATAGACCCTAAATCTATCAATTATAAAAATGTTATTTTTCAGTTTTTTCTTTCAAAGTTTGAATTTCTTTTTTCTTTTTACCATTAAGGTTTATAGTGAAATGCATACATCTTGCCGCCTTAAATATGGAGCTTTTAACGAGCATTACGCAACATGAATCGAATTAATCAGAGCTTCAATGTGGGGAAAAAAATTTCTTTGTTAAAGTTTGAAAATCTGAAAAAGTTTACTAACCATAAAATTATGAGAAATGTTATGAATACAATGACCTAAAGTGGCTGTCCATTTAATTTTTACATCACATACATGAATAACTTGTATTCATATGTATCTATATTTTAGGATGAACCTTTGTAACTATAAATAGAACACTTTTGACTCATGGACGAGATACTTGAAATAAGAAGAAAAGTCTAACCAAACGTCAACGATCGTCTACTTTAAAAAAGAATGATTGTTTTTTACCTCAAAACATCTAATCTTAGCTGTAACTTTAGACAATAACTATTCAAAACTTTTAATAAAATTAACTGAATGGCGAAAATTTAAAAATCATAATTAATTAACAAACCTATTATTTTTTTATTTTTAACAAAAAAATATTTGATTATAAATAATAACAATGAATGGTACCTTTGAGCAACAATAAAATTGTCTCCTTATTTTTTAATAATAATGATTTGTAAAAAGAGATACTGTATATGAAAAATATTGTAATATACTGACGCTTTCGAACTTGTATTTTTGGTATAAACGCCTTTGAACAATCTATGAAAAGATATGGGCTTCATTTTGAGAAAAAGAGGAAGAAAAAAGGAAAAAGGGGGAAAAGCAGAAGAAATCAAAATATCATTTTTCCTTCGTTTTCTTTTCTTTTCGTTTAAAGAGACAGTAATGTAAAAAAAAAGTAGAATCAGAAAAAAAAAAAATTAGTATCAGAAAAATTCAATGAAAATTTGTGATATATTGCCTTTTCAACATTTTCCTAGTTCGAATTCTTCTAATCGAAAGAGAACAATAATATACTGGTATACAAATTTTCGTGTGCTCCCCAATCTCTACTATATCGTTTCTCACATAGCAAAATAAAAATTCTACAAATTTCATCTCATTAGATATATGACAAGTTCTTTAGTCAAAATAATTTCCTACATTTTTTAGTGAATTGATGAAGGGCATCGCTGTAGAGAACATTCCACACATGACTCATGAGCTTGAATAATTGCAAACCAAGAAATAATAACCAATGTTGAAATGGGATACCGAATTGGTTATAGATTAAAAACCATATAGAAACAATGAAAAGCTATCAATGTGAACTACAACAAGATACACAAAAACCTGCAGATAAAAGATTCCTTGTCCTTGCACAAAATTCACATTAGCCTGATTGGTAAATGCAGCTCAGCCTCCATTATCACAAGTTTGCTAGGAATTAGGATCCATAGACACCAACTTAAGATGCTGTCCAGATATAGATCTGCCCACCGCTTGTAGCCCCTGCGAGCATTCCAACTTTTTCCTGGTGTGCATCAAACCGGCATGGAATAGCAGTCATGTGTTCGCTTCGTAAGGTAAAATCAAGTTTCTTGTCAGCTACTGAGATGACATCGACTCCTCTTTGCATATTGCCAATGTATATGTAGGAATCATCCCAACCCCATATTCCTCTGCTTCCCCAAGTGCACATAGAAATATTGTTAGTCTATGATGTCCAAGCATGCATAAGTGAGAAGTTGAATGTAAATAATAGCCACATTAACTTCTGGAAATATGCACACAGCCAACTGCCTATCTAACCAACACAAAATGTAACAGATTACGAGTAAACATCTGCTCTATTCGGAATAAAGTAAATAAATGTACATCTGTTCTAGTTAGCTACATGCACCTTAACCATTAAACATAAGTCCATTGGAGTCCCAACTATAATGTTTATAGCAATCCAACACTTGGAAAGTAGAACGGCAAAAAGAACAACAGGGAATACTTGCTCTTCTTTCGTTCCTACATGCTCATGAAAATATGAAAGACTTGGGCCTTCTCCAGTACTTTCTTGGTATGGCAGTGTATCGGCAGGGGCACATTCTTATCCTTCGTCAGCAGAAATATGCCCTAGATCTCTTGACTCGCACCCACTAACTAACAACACATGTATACGAAAGTACCTTACCACTTAAAGTATGACAAGATGGAAACAGAGAAGAAAAAAAGCAAGACAAACAGGCAACGAGCTCTTAGGCCAATGACAATTAGACTCTTTTAAGCTTCTTATGGTTCCACTCCCACAGCCCCTACCTCATTTAGCAATATCCAAAAGAAAAAAGTACAAGAAAGTACCAATCAAGTGGAACTTAATATTTTGTGACTCAACAATCCTCTCATGGTTAATGTCAAAGACAGCATAGTCTGAATAAAAGATCGGGAGGAAAGATCAAAAGTAGCCCTCGTTGGTCATAGATAGAGAACCAAGCTGGCATGTAGTCAAATACCCGCGGGGGGGGGGGGGGGGGGG